AGATGTGTGCTCACTGCCACAATGAGCTTTTCATTGAAGCAAACAGGTTGGGGCTCGTTGTCAGTTCTGGTGCAATTCATGAATGCGACGCTCCCGTTGTCATTGGGAAAGCAGGACTGAATTATATTGCAGTCCAAATTGTCGTAAAGACAACAAACTTTTCCGCTTTAACTAGAAAAATTTACGAAAACTATGAATATTACGCCAGAAAACTATCGTGATAGTTCCAGCAGGCAGGGGGCGAAAGAGAAAGAAACCAGTAGACAGAAAACTAACATCGGTATTTATGGGCGATACTACAAACGAAGGTCAAAGTAGGAAGCACTTCTAGCTGAGGTGGGTCATGTTTATGCATAAAACATTTTCACATTAATATAACAAAGGTTTCTTGACTCAGAAATTGTCAGCAATTAACAACAAGTTATGTTCGGCATGGCTCACTGTTTGCAGCAGTCGCAAGTGCAAGTTGCATGCCAACTCAGAATGGTGGTTAATGCTAATGAATGCGTGTCCCAAATCATCACAATTCCTTCTTCTTCTTTTGAGCCCCAGCCTTGATGCTGGTTATGTTTGCCGATACGGGAAACAGTAAAGGAGGGACTCGCTTCACTTACCCCTATGCATTTCTTGGTGCACGCAAGAGTCGGCAGCCTGCCTGCTGGCCAGCTGGTAGGGAAGGGTACAGCTACCGTATTGTGAGTCCTGGATGTCAAGATGGCCCAAATATTGCGTAAGGGCACAAGTGTTTTTGGATGTTGTCGATCTTTTACCTGTAGACATAACTTTTTTTAATAATCGATCCACCCACCGATTGTTCATTCCACACAAATGAGATAAGAACGAGACTAAAGTTGGGATTACAAGCCAAAACCGTCCAAGTCACCCACTTACCAATTCATCCATGCATTTAGCTGCATATTCATGGTTATTTATAGGAACTTGTGATTGACCTTAGACGTGGAGTGGTGCTGTTGTTAAAGTAAGGTAGCATTTGATGTGCAACTAACGCCGTCTCAGCCAATTTGAATAGAGGGAAGGAGGGAGGAGGCGAGAGCCAAGTTTGGCAAGGATTCCAGGATTGCAGCCAAAGACATACGAATAGGCTTAACTCTAGCAAATAAGCCGAGTAGGAGTTCTTTTCCTGATTGAGGAGGAAAAAATAGCTCTAAAAAGTGGGAGGTAAGTGTAAATGAAGCACAAAAAACGAGTTTAGAGTACCCAACTGCACTTCTAGTTCTCAGCTCCCTAACTCGCCAATGCTCAAGTTCTCTGCCTCATTTTCCTTTTAGTTCAATGTTTCCTTGCCCCTCCACAACTTAAGTTTTCTACCCATCCACCTTACAATCCAGGGCCCCACTCCTCAGCCTCTCTACCAATCTGGGTATCCAGCCACCACTCCAGATTACTATCTCACTACTGCTCTCTACTTTCCTATCTCCATGACTCTACCCTACGATTAGAACTACAAACCACCTTTTCCATAGTCAAGCATTTATGAAAACCACTTTTCTTGCAGAAAATACTGTGCTTGCAATTTGGAAAAAAGGCTTTTAGGATGCCCTTCTTTACACTGCACTGGAGGGAAAGGTGTTACCTACGGATTGTCAGAAAGGTTCACTTTACCTACCTCTGAAATCTAGGAGGGGGCTTAGGGTAGAGAGCGTAGGCTATGGGGTTCATCTGAATATTCTTAGGCTACATTGCGCTGCGCTTTCTAGAGACTGCCAAAATGCATCAATAACGAGATTAATTAACCACATTCTACCACTCACAACTGTATCTAAGCATGATTATTCAGACATGCAGCCATGAACACACATGCACAGATATGTATTTGAGTTAAAAAGCTCATCATCATCTCCGCTAGGCTGTTCAGCCTGATCATCCTAATCTTAATTGCAGCATGTCAGCAACTACGGTTGTTGAACAGGCACCAATTCAGCAGACTCCTCTGGAAATTGGTGAAAAGGTGCATCCTCCTGTCATTAATATGCCACTGATGATACGTTCCTGTGCAGTAGACTAAACATGCATCTTGATTGTTGGCGCTTTAAAATGCCTTTTTGTAACGCTTAATGCAGTTTGCTTTTTTGTTTCAGGAGTATTCTAATGTACTAAAACTCCGAGCAGATCACTGGACGGGTCAATTTAAATTCAAGCATCCAGCTTTGAGGGTTTGATTTCGTTGCCATAATCTTAGACAAAATCTTGCATAATTCTGTGAATTTTGAGCCACCAAGGCGCCACTGTAAAGCAAGTAAGGATTTACATGTACATTGAATGCACCGAATGAAAAATTATGCCTACAAAGCGATGATTTAATGGTCTGTTCTCGGTAAAACTAACTCGGACATATTTAAATTAGCACTGGGCAAGAGTGAGAATGAACAAGCTTTGATGTTTAAGGGAATATCCTCATAATACATTCGTAACTATTAAGTAGGTGACGCCTTGCAAATAATAAGCAATAAATGTTTGAAGGTGTTAAAATGTCAGCTGATCATCGTTTAACTCACCTCCATGCACCACTGAAAGAGTCTCATGTAGACCGCCTCGTCTTTGGTAGCACCGTTGTCTATCCCTCTATTTAAATACCTTTTTCCCAAAATCAAGGTATCCACACAGGATTACAATACGATTATCAGAAGGGAGCAAAATGTGAGGAAATATCTGATACCAAATTTATCAGCCTCCTTTACGTACCCGACTTCACCTCGCCTAGATATCATTCCATGCTAACAACCATCTTCAATCTCAATAACTACTACACGTGTTTGAAGCACAGTCGAGTGAATTTGTCTATAACTTAATCGATGGATTTGCTTCTTTCCCTTTATTAATTTTAGCATTTAAACTTTTGAATAAATAGTTTGGCTTCTGATTTATGATCAAAAATGGATTGGATCTGGAACCTGAGAGGAGGGAATCAGTAAAGTCAACTCGTATCCCCGATGTTGAAGTAGTAAAGCATATTTTGTAATGATGAGCAAGCGACAACGGAAAGCAACCTGTTTCCGAAAAGATGAGCAAAGAGCTCCGTAGCATTGCCCTCATGGACATGACCACAGCGCAGAAAGTGGGGTCTCTTTTAGATGAGCCGCCTCAATAATTGCTTGGAAATGGAATAAGTTGTTAGTTGTACCTTTATTTTCTTTTATTTGGGTTGCCGTGATTGAGAGAGGTTTGCTGAGTCGACCTTCATCTGATAGTAGATTAAAGTAATGGGTTGCTTTAGTATATGCTCCTACAGTATTTACACCAAATAGATGTTAGAAGAATTTCTACAATAAACATGACTGAGCTATAAGATGCTACCAACTGCATGCAGGGCACACGGTTTTGGCTTATTGTTACAGCTCATAATATTTTCGGCTGATTATTACCTATAATGAAATGGACAAAGTGCGAAGGAAATTATTAACTACAGCAGCAACCACGTGACAGTTCATTTTATTCAACTGACACTTGGCACCTTTTCTCACTTTTATCTTCCTCTTTTACATTCATACAAAGAAATACTCATCCTCCAAAATGAATGCCCTTTTTTAATTTAATTTCTGACCTACCTGGAGGCACCAGCAAAGGTGGTGGTGTGCTCAGCTACCAGTAAATAGAAAACAGGCACATCTTCTACAATGGTGCCACCAATGCAGGAGCCACTGTACATTATGCAAGGTCATAATTGGTAGGTGTACGGACTTCTAAATGGCCACGTGGTTAGCCCACAAATCGTTGAGTGGTTAAGAATATTAGTAGCTCATGGAGATTTCCCTGCCACTAGAGCAGTGACTAATTCGTGGCAACAAATGAAATAGGCTTTTAGGTAAAACGACAAAATTTACTGCGCTCTATTATCATATTGTTGCAAATAAACGGTTTTTTATCGCATCTATCAGAAAACACGCTGCTCAAGCATGAAAAGCGTGGTGAAGTCTGCACTTGAATTAATCTTTGGGAACAGAAAGAGGAGTATAACTAAGTGTAACTAAGCTACTCGGAATTTACAGCGAAGCTCATAACGAGGCCTTTTACTCCATACCTTCGGTGCTTTGCTGTACCCATTTCAATTCATCCCTAACGTCTCGATCAATCGTACTCCTTCCCCAAAACTTAAGGAATGGCTGCAGTGCATTGAAGCTGATGCCCAAGTGCCCAAGTGGGTGGCTTGACAGCATGTCTTGGCTACACGATAATAAAGAAAACTCTTTTCCTACGACTGTAATCACCGTGAATAGACAACGGATTTTATCGAGGACCGACGTCTGCAGTCAAATGTAGACAACTTCGTTTTAGCTCTTTTTCTCTTCCAGTGTATCGTATACTAAAGTATATGGCCACTCATTCTCGATGAACTATTACAGGTCGTGGTCAACAAAAACAATCATAGGCGCTTTCAAATATTAAAAAACACTCCAAATTCTATAATTGTTGTGAGAAGACTGTTACCAATGTTAATCAAAAGACGATAGTCACTACGTTAAAATAAAATGCAAATGTTAATAATCTCCCTTTGGAGTCGCAACATGTGCAGAAAATTGAGCAGGAATTAAGATGAGTTGGAGTCCATCGTTTTCATCTCTTTGTCACCAACTTTTGCTTACACTAAGCATTCCAGAGAGGCCTAATTTTCATCAATTTCCCCAAACAATATTGTCAATCAACTAATGCGGGGACACGTTCGTCGTTTGCATTTACCGATCTCTCAGTAGTCCCACAGCAAGACAATTGATGGGGCCTAATGGGGAGGATTGGTTGAAGAGCTTACTAGGGTACAGATTGGCCAATATGCTCATAAACAAATGGTCAATTTGTACGGTTTCAGTCATTCATCCATCCACTCACGCAGTGGTGCGGAAAACTTAAGGTCCAAAAGCGTTCTTCCAAAGGCAGGTTGGACATTAGCTATTTTTGACTTATAAAATGAGACTACAACCGCAGCTGCATGCTGAGATAACCAGCAGCCAGTACGTCAACGCCACCTAGAAAGAGTGAATCCAAATGTCTATAAATTTAAACCTGTCTATGCTAGTTGCCTGTTGTCTAAAAGTAGGCATACACGAATTCTAGAACTACGTAACAGAAACGGATTATTTGGGTGCACCAGTAGGTAAAAAATCTTCATAATTATATTAATGCCAACACTTCCTTGAATGTTTTGCAACATGATAATGCATGGGCATCAATTTGCCATCAACAAAGTTGAGAGCTTGCTAAGCTCTACACAACTTGATCACCTAACACTAAGTTATAAGTACTGCTGATCAGTCTATCTGCAGCAGGTGTGTGTAGGCACGAACACTAACGCGACAGCACGCAGTAAATCCGGAAGATGAGGGCCTCATAAAAGGCGTATTGCTGCCAAGAATATAAGCATGTTACTAGATATCATTTTTTATTCTTATGCTCAAATCAAAACAAAAATCCTTTAAAATTGCCTCGAATGACTGACAATCAAAGAGGCTGCAAACTACTACATGAAGCTACCGAGGGGCGAGCTACTTGATCTTCAAACGCTGAACACTTTCAGATGACGCGAATTTTACACTGATCCCGTAATAGATAGCGCACACATCACATGCAAATCCGTAAATTCGCATGAGAGTAATGTCACATTTTAATGTGGAAGCCAAAAATCCTAAAATTTTATTTCCTACCAGAAGATATGCACTTATTTACTCTATTGAGTCAACCTTTTTGATCCGTCCCGGATTGGGTTATTTTGTAAGGTGCCCGAGATGTCTTGGTATACTCTCTTGCCTGCATGCCTGCAATTTTCCACTGGTTAGATTAAATCTTGGTCTTTCCATATGGCTAGAGCCAACTGCAAGTCTTTTATTTTTATTATTCTCATTTAGTCAATTTCCCCTATACTATTTCGTGGCGGTAAATCATTTAGACCATTTGTCTTAAGTGCGAATTGCCACGGTCTTGGGCAGAATTAATTAAACATCAGAAGGCAGCCTTATAGATGTCACACTTATCTCGTTATTGGGCTACTATCCCGAAGGATTTTCGATCAAGTTGACACTGCGAGAAACACCCACAAACAGAAGCCTGATTTTAAACACCAACACTACCATTTTTTGTAAAACGCGATGCACGTTTGGCAATTATTCTACTTTAAACAGCCTACATTTGCTAGGAACCATAGATGACACGAGACACATTGAAGATGAATTGCCAGCTACGTGGCAAATTTGTGACTTAAATGGTTGCATTTGCACTGCTCAAGGTATTGCAAAGCAATTCATAGAAAACTTTAAAGAAATAGGCACATAAGTTTGATAAAAATATGATTTTGCTTTTGTACACAGAAAGGAATTACTTTTAAAGATTCTCCTATGAAAAACTATGACCAATTTCAGGTGTCTCGACTCTTTTCAGTGACTACACGGCGCTTCTCTATTGCAGAAAATAATTTTTAAACCAAATATGTCTTTTTATCTTACGATGCTAAATCCTACCCTTTTATATTCTTGTCATTCTTTTACTCCAACGAACGCAAGTCCATATAAGCTGCTTTTTGACAGTGGTAATCAAGGATCTGAATCAGATAATCAGCTCTCATGACAAATTTTGCGTCAAAATATATTTATGTACAAGTCCAACATTGCGATTCGATAAAATCAGCCATGGTGTCCGAAATTGGTCATGATTTCATATACCAAAATTTTCATCATATTATCTCACTGTGTATAAAGACGTCCTTAAATTGCTGTGAAACACCTTGCACAATGCAAACGCAACCATGTAAGTCACAAGTTCGCCGCGTGGAAGGCAATTCACCTTCAACGTGGTTCGTGTCACTTTTGATTTTCACTAAATGCAGGCCGTCTATGTTGAATAATTGCCACATGTGCAACGCGTTTTACAAATAAATATAATTATTGGTGCTGGAACTCAGGCTTCTGTTTGTGAGGAGTTTACATGGGTGCTTACCGCGGTATGAGCTTGATAGATAAAGACATCCCAATAGTAGCCCAATAACGAGATAAATGTGACATCTATGGGGCCGCCTTCTAAGGTTTAATTGTTTGAATTTATATTGCGTTTACTCTAGAAGAGTTCTACTCTTTCTAGTTTTACTACATGTCTTTCCAAATCAGGGTAAACAATGATTTCGTCATGTTGGATGTTCTTAATAATTTGCAGATTAATCTTTAGACAAGTGTGATGTTAATCCTCCTCTGCACCAGTACCAATGCCTCCACCGCCACATGTCCGCGCACAGGTGCACGGGCCGCGCAGGAAACAGCGAGAGTCAGCAGCAAGCATGCAACCAAATGTGACAGTTGGTTTATTTAGACAGACTCATTTAAAGCAGAATTAGTTGTGTGGTGTTACTGGAAATGATTGCATTAGAGGAACCTAGCACGCTTAAATCAGCATCTACGAGTACCAGGTGGAAGATAAGCCATCTGCATGAGTGCTACGGTCTGGGTGTGCTAGATCCTCCCCTCATCCACGCATCTGTTGAGGAAATGGAGACGAGGCCGATGACGAAAGCACCGATAGACGCAAAGGTAATTGAGAGACTCATATTTAAGATATGATTGAATCGCGGATGCAACTTTCCAGACTTGGTAGATGGGTGATCCCATGATAGGCTTTGAAAGGTTCAATCACCTCTAGGTAGAGGAGTGGATTTGTAAACAAGTGGGAAAGGAGGGCGAATGAATGTAGAACAGATTGTTTGACAGATGTGTCTGACCCAGATGGATGGGTGCTTCATGGATGACTGGATGTGCAATTAGATGGATGAGCCAGGCGTGGGTGGGGGGACAGATGCTCAGAAAGTGGGCACAAATAAAGGTGAACATATTGAGGATTAGTAGATTGGCAGCAGAAGAATTCAGGTTTGACAGACCACTGCATTCAAAATTAGTGAATGGTTACATCCGATGTGGTAATATTGACGAATTAAGACTGGGTGGCTGAGTGAATTTAAGAAAATTTGAAACCGAATTAATTGATGAGGGTAGATCTGTCGACGGCTTTACTATTCCCATGATGTATATCAAAGTAGTAGGCACTAACTTAACTACAGTATGGAGGTGACATTACACTGGTCGCCCACCATTCGCAATGCTCAGCCGGCAATGCTACCGTCGCCAGGGAGAACTTGCTCGCGTGCCACTTGAACAGCGCGCAGTTGCAATTGCACTCGCAGCGGCTATCGGCGAATCGGTGGCACCATCACTGGTGATCTCTTGCTCAGTAGACCCAGCTCCTCTAACAATGCCTGCCGTCGCTGACCTGTAGATTGTACGCATTTGGGAGTGATAACTACTAATGAATAATGAGTAGTTATCACTCCCAGCAATCTGACATCACGGAACACATTAGAACAATGCCCAACTCCTTACACATTTGGACCACCAACTCAGTAGCATGTCATCTGTTCATACTAATTCTGTCACTGGTTTACCAGTCCTGTACTCGTACACTTATGTTCCACCTCGGCGTGTGTTTTATAAAACCTTCAGAGAGGACCAAGGCGATATAGTCGTAGGCAGATCAGCAGCCTTAGTGACGTCTGTGCTGCCAATCTGTCAATCCCTTCAATGAGGTCATACCATACAGCCCCTTTAAATGTAACTTCAGCCAGTGCGAGAAATCACTTTGTAAGAAGAAATAACCCCGATTTACCCTCCTCACTGTAAAAAAATGCTACCGATAGCCACATCTGTAGAGAAGTACCTACTGACACTACGCCAACTGCTCACAGCTGTTCGCATCATCAAGTTCAGGAAGCTGACCAGTGATAGAATGGGACTCAGGTTCACCGACTTAAAACCGGGCGTTAAGCGACCAGTTGCCTGTCATTGGAAACTACTGTCGGTCTGTGTTCGAAGTCGCTGGCAGTAACGCAGTCAAGCGGCTGGGCTGCGGTGTGAAAAGGAGGAACATATGTCAGGCACAGCTCTGCAAAGTCGTTTCACCTTATTCTGCATCGTAGTCTCGATCTCGGGAGAATGCGCCATGAACTGATATTAAAAGGACCCTCTGTAGGGCGCTGTCCAGCCCCAAGTAAAACGTTCTAGAGTAATTTCTTTGCTTTGTATTATAAAAAGCACGACTGGTGATGCCATGTTCGTGAAAAGTGTTGGTCTCCAAATTTGAGCGTGATTCATCGCCCGGCCTTCGGTTCTGTGCATTTGGTGGTCTTAATGCATTTGGACACCAAGGCAAAGGGTGGTCACTCGAAAATTCTTAAAACTAAGCTGCCTTGTTCAGTCACCCACAAATCTGCCTACTCAGTCCTAAATTCACTCAGTCTCTGCTGATTGGCTCAAATCAGCCTAACCACTTGAAGGAAAAGGCCAAGGCAAATCAGCAAGGATATATATGCATAGCTAAACCCACTGTCACGCAGATTTACTTTTGGGCAATCTACACTGCT